TTTAAATCAGATTTAATTTGCATAGTTGGGAATTTTTGAGAATTCCTAGGAATTTCTAGGAATTCCTAGGAATTCCCAGAAATTCCCAGAAAACTGGGAATTCGGTTTGCAAGGGTCATTTGCATAATTGGGAATTTTTGAGAATTCCTAGGAATTCCCAGAAAACTGGGAATTCAGTTCGCAAGGGCACCTTTATGCTCATTCTGTGATAAGAACGAGGAAACCCTTGAACATCTTTTTGTTTTTTTGTGAACACTCTAGAGCTTTCTGGAAAGAAATCTCTAGTTGGTTACATGAATGCGGTATTGAAACACTTCCTGATCTAACAGATCAAATTAATATTATGTTTGGCTTATTTGATGTCGATAATCACTTTATGCTTTTAAATCACATCATGTTAATAGCGAAGCAGACCATCTTTCTCTGCAGACAGAAATCTATTACCCCAAGCTTTATTATCTTCCTTGCGCACCTTAAAAAAATTTTTAGAATAGAAGAATACCTAGCTAAAGAAAAGAAAAAACTAAACCTGCACTGAATGAAATGGGAAAAACTTTTACAATCACTCAGCTGAAATAACTCTACCTTGGGTAGCCTTGTATTAATATTTTTGTTTATTTATTTATTTATTTATTTATTTACTGACCTTATACAATTTTATTTACTTTATACTGCTGTAATTTTTTTTTTTTTTAAAATGTAAAACGGAAAAACACGATAAAATATAAAAAAAAAAAGTTTTAGCTTTGAAAAAAGATAGCTACATGAACATGCAATTTCACCATTTGATAAGCAGATCCTACTACAAATCAAGGACATCTCTTCCTCTGCCTTATTTTCCACAACATATCATTATATCCAAATGACAGAATGCGAGGATTATCTCCACGGTTTTGAAAACTCAGTACATTTAGATGTACACACAAAACTATGTGACTTATATGAAGTATTTAAACAAAGTCTCTACATTGGAAGCAACGTATCATCACTGTCATCATCTACTAAGGCATCATCCATTGCCTAAGAGAAAAAAAAAATTAAATTTAACAATACTTAAATTAGAATACAAAATCACACACATGGCTAATGGTTGGAACATCAGTTTTGTAACTCTTTACAGTGGCCAATTTACGTTATCAACTCAGTTGATAAAACCAAACTACCCTGTTGTACTCTCCCACTGACACAGCACCACAGTTTCTTCAGAAACTTACCCCCTTCACCCCACTTCCCCATTGGGTGGGAAACTTCACTATGGTGGGGTACCTCCCATATGACTATCCCTCCCTCCCTCCCTCCCCCCCAACACAGCATTACCACCAGAGGGTTCCATTTCCTCAGCAGAAAGAGACACTTACAAGACTAAACTTCCTAGCCTTTAAGTAGGCCTAGATTACTATTAGCCCTGCAAGACATGCATTTCTCTGGCTTCAGAAATGTTTGAGACAAGTCAGGGAGAGGTTTGCTGAGGGTCTGGCATTATTAGTGCTAGACCTATCACTAGCCCACCCACAGGGAGAAATGCTCATCATGCTGAAGGGTTCATAATAAGCGCCTGCTTGCAGGCTAAAATTTATTTTCAGGACAGCTCAGAGGTACATGGCCCAAAATGAATGCAAAAGGCATGTTTACAAAAAGCATGTACATGCATGCACCTTTTCAAAACATGCTTTAAAAAAACAGGTGCAAAGGAAGCAGACAAGTATATATGAGGCAATAGTTTGTTTTACCCTTTGTTCAACTTTAAATGGTGTTTTAGATTTATAACAAAAGAGGGATTCTGATGTTGGTGACATTATGTGGTTTGTCCCAAAGTGTTTGCTGTCATGTGATTTTTGAAATGGCTTGCCTGTATTATGAAGAAAAAAAGAAAAGTATTTGACCCAATGGGGACCTCTGGCAGTGTGACCTCACTCCAGCTTGTGCAGAGAGATTGTTTGTTACAGAATACTGCTAACTATGCCTTTGTGCCTTGAACCATTTATATAATTGAGACATAGGATTTCACTTTGACAGCCCACCTTGTATCTTGTTGGGCGTGACTCTGAACACCGACACATAAAATTACATCCATCCTAGGAAAAAAAAGCAAAATTTAAAACAGTACTAAGAATCACACCACTGAAGGTAATTTGAACTTGAAGAAATAGGAAAATTTTCCCAGAGACAAGTAACCACTGAGAAATAAAGTATTTTGCTTTCATAGGATGAGAGCCATTTGAGACATGCTATCTGCTAATTTGGATTGACTATTTAGTTGTTTTCCCACAGAAAAGAAACAAACCAAAACAAAAAACAAATTAAAGTAAAAAAAAAGAATTTTGATTTTGAGAAAGTTTGGATGCAATTTGTTACTTTGTGTTCATTTACAAAGAAGTCTTCTGACCTACACTGATCAACAAGAAAACTCTTATTTGACTAATCACTCAACACAAAATCTCTCTCAAATGGCAAGAAAAAAAGACTAAGCCAACTTCCACTGTGTCTCAAAACCATTACACACTAATACCATTGTAGATAGGGTATTGAGTGTTATTAACTAAATGGTTTAAACCCACACACAACCCACAATTCCTCCAATCACTCTGATGAAGGGTTAACACTTGAAATGTCAATCTTTTAACTCTTTGAAGAGGCCAATTTATGTTATCAACTCAGTCAATAACACTAAATTACCCTGTTATACTCTCTCACTGACACAGCACCACAGTTTCTTTAGAAACTTACCCCCTTTAACCATTGTAGATAGTTTGAAAAAAGAGAAAAACTTACAGCTTGCCGACTTCCACAGTCTTTCCAAAGGTTGTAGTTAGGTATCTGCTCCATTCCTTTAGCACTAATCTTAAATCTTTGGTACAAGAAACCAAGAATTATGAAAATGGAGCCCACAACGATCAATCTGCAATGAAGAAAAAGTTATTGCCAATGGGTTATTTAATTGGTTTAATTTCAAAAAAAGCTCGTAAGTAAGTTCTTGATTTTTCCTTAGAGGTTTATTTCTTTAATTTAAATTGTTGAGATTCAAACTCAGATTGGCTTTAATTGGCAAATCAGAGCAAACAAATGTACTCTGGGGAGGGGACACTCTGACTCCTTTTTTTTTTTTTTTGACATCCACACTGCACCCCACCCCAGAAAAAGTAATTTTTAGCTCCCAAAAAATTCTCCCTTTAAATTTTGCATTTGTGTCAATCTAATTTCTTGATTTTCTCTGATGCACAGTACAGTGGAACCCTAAGAATTCTAACCAGTTCTACTCCAACCTGGTTACAGTGTAACTCAAACCCTGCTAACTCAGAAAAGATCCAAGTTCACTCAGAATTGACCCCATTTTTCCAGTAATTAACCATCACCTACAAACAGTAACTTAACCTTGAATAACTCAAACCACTTTTTGTTTCCCTTCAGTGTTCAAGTTAGCAAGGTTCTACAGAACTGTAGTTAATAAGTTAGGCATAATTCAATGAAAGTAAGCAAGCCCACCAACGTTGTGAAATTGTGCACCCATGTCATCCTAATTTCTTAATTTTCTTTGCTGCAGATAAACAGTAAAACCCTACAATCTCCAACCAGGTTAACTCAAACCCCTGCTAACACAGACAAGATCCAAGTTCCCTCAGATTTGACCCATTCCAGACATTTACTATCAGTTATTGACAACTTACTATAACTTCAACTTGATTAACTTGCACCATTTTCCATTTTCCTTAAGAATTTGAGTATAAGCTGGGTTCTACTGTAGTTAATAATTACATGACTACTGTGTAATTCAGAAAAAAGTAAGCAAGCTTTGTCAAAAAGTGCAATACTTACATTATCACTATAATGTATCCAGCACTTAAGTGCTTTGGCTTCGCTGTGCATGCTGCATCATTATTAAGTTCAAACAGGTAGTAACATTCCAGTGGGTTTTCTAGATCTTCTAGTCTACTTTGGTTCCTATATTCTTCAATGACACGCATGGTTCCCTGGAAAAAAAAATTGTAAAATCCAATCTTTTCTGGATTTAGAGGCAAACAAAACTTAAAGATCTTTTTTCCAAGTTAATACAGCTGCACGTG